GGGCCAGTAATTTTATTTTGTTTTTAGATATTGCAAAAGAATAGAAAAAATATAAACAAAAATACGAAAATGATGAAAGGAGCAAGCTATTCAAAATATAGGAAATAGAATGTTCTTATTCGATATTGACTGCATAAACAATCATTGCTGTTCCCCCCCCCCCTTGTATACAGAATATAATTATAAAAAAAAAGTTTTTGAAAATAAAAGAGAACAGTATTCTTTCTTGAGTATTTAAAAATAATTTCTGATATTAGCATTAGTTATTGAGCATAGTGTTATGATCCTTTATGTTTGTTTATTTTTATTTGTTCATATTTGAAGGTTACATCAAGTTGGATTATGCATTTTGTTCTTTTAAATATGCTACTGTGTATATAGTTATTTTAAATTTGTGACAAATTGATCAGTTTCATATTTATATCTGAGGCATTTAATTTTATTATTTTTTATTATACAATTTTATGTTATTATTTCAAATCTCTAAGACTGTGTTACATTAAAAAAGTTGTTGTAATATTATCTCATAGCCATTTTGCAATTTGTCTTGAATGCTTTTTTGTTTTTGTTTTGTTTTGCTTAGTATCTATTTTAGATAATGATATATTACAAGTTATAAAACTGATATATTACAGGTTTTCTACTGACCAATATGAGAAAGTACCATTCTTTATTTTTGGAGACTGTAATTTTTGCCTAGATACCAAAGATGCAATACAGGTAATATCTTCAGAAAAATAAGTTTGCATAGTAATTATAACATTTATATGTTAGATAAATGGAAATAATTATAACAAGATAGCTAAACATTGTTTATTCCGTACTTCTACTAGCTGTTGTTATGTATTAGAGTTATAATATGTATTATCTTACAGTTACATATTTTGCAGTAATATTCCTCTAAAATATCTGAGACACAAATTTTTGTAGTTTATAGTTAGTCATGCAAATAGAATATTCAAATTTGTTAACAGATATCTTAGTATATATTATTTTCTAAAACTGAAGGAATCTACAAGTAACATTGAACTTGCCAATTTAGTTTCAGTTTTACTTTTTTTATAACTATGTAGTTATAAAAAAAGTTTTAATTTCCATGTTTGCAAAAGAATAATGCACAACTTTAAAAAATGAGCAAGAGCTTCAAGTTCTAATAATATGTATGTTGCTTGTAATATTAGAAGGTGGAGTGAACATAGTTGTGTATGTTATTTGAATTAATTTGTTGAGGTTTTTAAAATCTTAGTGATAAAATCACTGGTTTACAGGGGGAAAAAAAGCTGGTGATAAAATCTGAATATGCATATTTTCTTCCATATTTTATTTTTTGTTTACTTTGCCTCCCCCCAACTCCAAAGTTTTTTTTTTTTTTTTTTTTTTTAAATGACCAACATAAAAGTTTCGAGAAAAATAAATTTTTATTTATTTTTAGATGTATACAAAACAATATATTTCACCTTTATATTGAATGTATAATGGCCTACCATACTTTTCGTTTCCTTTGGAAATTTTTCTTTAAAATTTCAAAAGGTTGAAACAAAAAAGGTTCAAAAGGTACCATTGCTTGCTTTTTAGCAACAGACATGACGAAGCTTCCATCCTTGTCCTTTCAATTACTGCTCTCAGATTGATTTTGAGTGAAAGCAACAGCTGTCTTTTTCTTCTCTCTAATGAATTCATCTAATGTGGGCTGTTCATTACTGTATGTTATGGACAAAGAGATCAATCTCATTATTTAATAACCACACCATGTAAGTGTCTATGCAAACTGGAATTTCATTTGCAGTAACACAGTTAATATGTAAGACTTCAGAATTTTTTCGTATATTAAATGTGCCCACCAATGGGCGAGCGGTAAAATCGCTGAACAGTGGTAGGTATGACCTGGGTTTGATTACAGGCAAATGTGCTAGCTGCTTGGGCATTTTCGTGATTTTCCTCATGTGTAACTTGTATATGAGCCAGTTTCCCTTAAAATGTTCTCTACAATGGCATCCCTTTAGGCAGATAGCCCTAGTGTGCTTTGCCATAATCAACTAAATCAAATCATATATTAAATATTGACCTCTTATGTTTATCATTTGTATGTTGCAACACAAGCTAAAATATTAAGAATTTTATAGTCAGTAAGGAGATTTTTGTATCTGCAGATGTGAAAAAAACTGAATTCCAAAGAATAGTAAATGACAGGTTAATATGTAATTAAGTGAAAATATTAATTCTGTTGGTGAAGATTTCTGAAACATAGGGAAGGGAAAACTACTGTAACACAGCTAGAATTATCTATGATATGTGTTTTTCATAATAAACTGAATTGCCTGTTTACTTTTATTCCTCTGGCTTAAGTATTACAAAAGCCATGTTCCGAATTTCCTTGATATATCCAGAATACTAAAAAAATCATACTTTTCTTGGACCATGTGTCAAGAAATGCCAGCTAAAGGTGCTAAAAGGTTAAATAAAAAAGCTAAAGGTTAAATAATAAATTAAATATTACTACCTTCTGAGTCATTGACTTTGCATGACCTAAGATGCACCATTATACTAGGCTGAGATGGCCAATATGTATTTTGCTTATAGGTCAATGGATAGAAATGGATGTATGTGAAATTGAACGTAAGATATATGTACTACACTAGCTATTTAACACATCTTTAAGGTCTTTCAGTCCAGATGTAATAAGTATGCACAACTAGTGTTTATCTCCTTATAGAGACAATCACTAGGAATAGGAGATTACAGCCAGCATGTAGAATTTCCACACTGGTTTTTGTAGTTATGTTCTGAAGGATGAGTTTTTCCATTGCGGGTATGCATATGTAGGTATATGACAAGCCATATGGCTTTATACTATAAAACTATAGTTCACTATAAATGTTTGCATTGGTACTCTTTGATTGGTCTTTCTTTCTTTCTTCATGACTTGACTAGCGAAAGATATTCCGAGAGAAGATCTTGTCAGAACTGCAGTTTAATGTTCCTGGTGTTTTAATATATTTATTTTTTATACAAATGTTTTAATGATTGAAGCTAATATGTATCTATATTCTAACATATTATTTTATTTATTAACAAGTTTTATATACTTGTTAATAAATAAAATAATTCTATCATCAAGTTCTACTTATGATCCTTCTTCCCTAAAATGTATATATGACATGTATGGAATAGACTGAAATATATATACCCAATAACACAGGGGTTCTCAGCCAGGTTGAAATTTCCCCTTGGGGGAAAATTTTCATGGTTTCATGTGTGGGATGTGGTCAGCCTTTTACTCTTAAACTTGTTTTAGTTTATGTATATAAAAAATTACTCTTATCCAAGTTTTATCAACATTTTCTATACTTCTGGTTTAATTAAAAGCACATTAAAAATAATCTAAATTTAAGTAGATGTATATGCATTTTTGAGTTTTGGAGTTGCATGGGGCAAAAAAACTTGAGAGCCACTGCAGTAACATAAGCTCAAAGTATACCCTCGTAGTTATACCACCATAATATGAAATGTATAACTCTTTCAAAAAAAGTTTGTGGAAGAATCATATCACATGTGTAAAACTTGCAACAACTGAATTTTGTTGTTAGAGGATGTTAGTATATTCTTCATAAAAGACATATGTGAAGTAATATCTTGTGGGGCAGCATACACAGGTGATCTCATGCAAATAGAAATTAAAGCATCTTTTGACTATTTAGTGTGAAGCTGCATTTTGTAAAAAATGCTCGAATGCAAATACTTGTGTTCTTTGATCAGAGAAAAATTTTCATCAAACCACAACAACCTTTTTGGCAAATGTTTTATCCTCCAACTCCGTTTTTCTGTATTATTTAAGTGTTTCTGTAAGGTCAGCATTTCTGGATAATACAAGCTATTCAGTATGATATAATGGATTGTCTGTGATGTACATGAAAGACAGGCATTCTACTAATGCTTCCACTGAAGTGAATGTTTGTACATTTAAGTTTTGAAAAAATTTCTTGACTGCAGTTATCCCTCCCATGTATAATGTGTATATGAACCAGTGTTCCATAAAAAGCCCTCCACAAAGGGAAGAAGGCATCTCTTCTATCTTAGGCAGATAGCTCTTGAGTGCTTTGCCCAACCAGCCCCCTATGTAGCAATCATCCTTCAGTACCTTCTTCCTTCTTAGTCCTTGAATTGTGCTTCAATTTTTCTTACAGCTTCTTTACATAAAATATTCTACATAATAATGCAGCATAAATAACAGTATTCTATACTGTATTATGTATTGATATGATTATTACTGAGCTCCATAAACATGTGCAATATTCTAAAATTTTAAGTTATTAAATTATTTTAAGATTAATTATTAATAATTTTATTTAAGATTATTTAAATTAGATTTTCTAGAGGCATTTCACTTTGATATAAATCTTTCAGTTCTAGTTAGCAATCCCAGTTCCAATCCGTCTTTACCCTCAGTTTCTAATGAAATTATTTGATAGCTGTTTTCATTTTTCATCAATAGAGGGTGCCAGCAGCTTGACATCCTTCTTATCGTTCTTATTGCCTAATCTTATTACTGCTTTTTCCTTCATCATTTGCACTTCTGCAGTTGAAGAAGGAGTTTCTATATTTAACCTTCAAAACTAGTCCTGTAAATTTATAAATATTGTGCTAATTCTTGTTGCTTGTTTAACTCCTGCAATAATAGTTATTTGCATGTCATTTTAACTCAAATACACTTGAGTTCACATATGTAATATTCAATTAAAAACTCTTCCTTGCCAAATATAGATTTAAAAAGCTCTGTAGCTTTTCCATAATTCTCTTTAGAGAGCAAAATCTTCTAATAAGCTGGCGAGTTCGGTTTCATGCATTGAAATAAATGATCAAATTTATCCTCAGAATTAAGAGATTCATATTCCAATATTTTCATTGCCATTCTGTAAAAGATAAATTTAAAGCAATTCAGCAGTATTCGTATTCAAGAGATACACAGTTTGCTTCACGTTAGTGCCTTTTCTGCTTAAAAACTGCTTTCTCTATAGAAAACAAATCATTTCTTAAAAATAATGAGCAATCCAGACTTTTTTAATGTTGGTTTGAAATTAAAATAGGTGAAAATTATGCAGGATACCTCTGTTTTATAAGGAGGACTTTGCTGCTGAACAGTGTAAATTATTATGAAATAAATGCTGTACATCTTATATGTATTACTTTGTATTTTGACTTAAAATGTTGTCTTTAGAATTTAAAGAAAATTCTGATCAGGAACAGTTTTTCCCTTTCGTTATGAAAATAACTTGTACTTGCGTAGATCTTAAAATGTTTTCCTTTTTTTTTTTTTTTTTTTTTTTCAGGTAAGCTTTTCATTAGTTTTAACATTATTGATAAATATAAATACATAACATGAACAATAGTTAATTATTACTCAAAAGAATATCAGCTATAGAGCTATGATTAAAAACAATAAAGGCAATAGGAGAATCATTAGGATCACTGGCTTTCTTTAGTTCATCTAAAAAAAGTCATCTAAAGAAATTAGAATGTCATTGTCTACAGAAACATCAGTCTTTTCTTTCAAAAACTGGGTCCATGCCACCAAATGTTACCTATTCAATAAAATGTCAGCACCAACTCTCCTGCTGAGATCTGCGAGATTTTCTTTCTCAGGGCACCAGTATCACTTAAACCCTGTATTTCATTCACTCTGTTGGTGGCAAATGATTTCTATCATTTTGTTGTCCTCTTAATCCAACAGAGTGATTTTTGAATTCGCCCAAAAAACATTGAGTGCCTTTTTTTAAATGCACCATTTTCTTGACTTTGCTTGCTAACTGAGCAGCAAGCAAAGCGCCGAATAATTCTAGTCTCGGAAGCGTGATTTTTCTTAGTGGCGTCGCTTCACACTTGCTAACCAATAAATTCACTTTGTTTGGGTTGTTTACTGTATTTGGTATTTTAGATTTTTCTGTATTTAACAATTTCGAATGAAGATGTTTGAAGTGTTTATGTACTTTTGCATTGCTGCGAAGTGATTGATTGTAACAGAAATGCATTTCTAATGAAATTCGAGGAAATAAGTCTAAAGAAATTGCAGGGATACAAGTAATATAAAAAAATTGTCTAAAGTCAATTCCTACTTAGATCAACACAGAAACATTTTAAAAATACAACAAAATTTTAAATATGTGAAAAAATTATATTAACATCAAGTGTCATCAACTACAACTTTAAAAAAATGTATTTGAACTTCAGTGGACGAATAGAAAGTATTTTATTAACAATTGAAAATTTGCACAAGATATTGGTTGAGTGTGAGCTGATAGTAGGAATTTTAAAAAGTAAAATTTCAATAGTCAGTACAAGGCAGTCGCATGGTGTGCACATTATATATTTACTATGAATTTAATTGAAATCTTCTCTAACAAGTTTATTATTATCTATTTCAATGCAGATTGAATTTGAAGGTGAAACCACTGATGGAAACTTTGCTCTTGATGACGTCACCTTTTACGATGGGAACTGTCAAAGTAAGTATGATAACACATTTTTATGCTCTTTTTAAATGCAGCTAAGATGCTCTTCCCTATGTCAGTCTGTAGCGATATCTGCCATGAAACCTCTGGCAGCCCCCATTAAAATTTAGCCTTTGGAAAGTTGTCAGAATTAAAATCATAAAATGAAGTGCAGTACAAGTTGTCAAATGAAGAAAGTCCATGGTTTCACCGGACGGACATCATCAGCAACTACACCAATGCGGTGCAGGTATTTATATAAAATGTCTTGTCGAGAGTTGAAAATTTGCCGTAAAGAATGCACGGGGTATGTCCACTGGGATAGGCGAAAATACAAGAGTATTCCACACTTTATCGGTTGAAAGGAGTTTATACATTTAAAAGTTGGTCCACTTTCCTCTTTGCCTCAGAACTAAACTGTTAATTGGAGAGTGAGAAATGTGGCTAAAGTAATCATTTTTATCATTCAGATTTCAAATCATTATAGCATAATGTGGCTAGGGTACAAATAGGGCGCAGCCCCATCCACCTAATCGACAAGATTTTATGACAAACAAGGGCTGCGCCAGGATAGCTTACAGCCATTTTTAGGCAGAAGATGGGCTTTTTCATTTCCAGTGGCTGGGGATCCATTGAAAAACAAGCTCCGAGCCAAAAGCCATTGCATTGGATACATTTATCTTGGTCTCTTCAACAAGAAAGTAATCAGTAGGTGTATGAGACAGCTGCCCACTCGGGAGTGAGCAAATATAACTGCCTTGCTAAAGTTAGTATCAGGTACAAGAAGATTTAAAATTGCCTTTCCTGTGGCAAAAATCTCTGCGTCGAAGTTAGAGGCATTCAGATCAACAGAATAGGATTCCGCAAAATATCCTTCACAGTACAACCGGCACCAGTATTTTCCTTACGTGCAGTGTCATCAGTAGAAATGTGGATCCACTCACAGCTAGGGTTATTTGTAGCTATAACTTCTAAGGAAAAAGCTTTAAGAGCGTCAGGAACTGCCTCGTATATCTTTTCAGCCATACCAATTTCAAGATTACAAGTAGGAGCCCTAATAGTAGGAGGAGAGAGGCTAAACTGGTTAGGGTGGAGTAAGGTAGGCATGATTAGGTATTGCAATTTCGGACCAAAATTTCAATACCTGTATTCGGTAGTAGGAATTTTATAAAAAAAGAAAGAAAACACAGGTGTTTCTTTGTTTTATTTGCCAATTTTATTAGAGTATATACCACCAAAAAATCATTCATAATTTATACATTATAACAGTATATAAAGAATTGTAAAGAAACGAGGACCATCTTATATATTTAAATCACAAAAAAGTGTAAATATCAGTATTCTGTGGTACTATTAAAATTTTTGAAATGTGATCTTAAAAAAACATAATTGAGCCTGGAGCGTAATTTTGTGTAAAAATTACCAGCTGTCTAAAACCCTCTTTCAGCATCTTACACTAGTAGGTGGTACTGTTAGCAAGGGCGATATACTTTTTCCAAGTATTTATCTCGAAATCCTTCATCTTCAAATAAATCGATTTCTCATTGGATGGTTTTGGATATAACTGATTTCTGTATTTTATTTTGGCTTGTTGAATTTTTTTTTAGTTAGTGCTAATTCTAATTTTTGTTCAAGAGACAATTCTTTTCACTATCGACATTAGTGCCATCATCATCTTCGATAACTGTACCGAATTCTTCTGTGTGTGGATAGGTTTGTGGGTAATTTAAGAAAGTTTAATATTTCTTTCTATTTTCATTTTAAGAAAATTTAACATAAACTTGATTTGATTAGTCTCTTCCTCTTTTTCATTTTTAAATCATTATAATTATGTAAATACCGTAAGCCATTTTCTATTTCAGTATGCCTTTCTCCTGTGCGATTTTTCAATGTAATATATAATTCTTTAAATAGTGATGTGAGCTGTTCCTTGTTGCACTAACTGTTAAGAAATTAGAATCTCTCCGTATCGGAAAAATTAATTGGGAGATTAAAGTCGATTGTTGCTTTTGGGGATTGCATATTTCAGTTTCATAAATCGTTCCATCACTAGGAGTAAATTGTTCCAACGTGGTTTAGAATCTAATATTAAAACATGTTCTGTTTTACTTCCAGTTATTATATATTTTTCAAATAAGGCATTTTTTGTAGGAGAATGTTTAAATGTCGTAACAATTTTTCAAACTTGATTAATTATAATGAACTTGATGAGTTAATATTTCATCCTCATTAGCAATATCTTCAACAATTACAGGGTGATTATAATTAAAGTTGCGATATCAAAACGCTGCTCTAACTTTAAAACTACCAGTCAGAATGACTGGATATTTTATGAATGGAATCTGAACCATCGTGAAACAATTGAATTTTGTTTAGTGAAGGAAAAATACCATATTTGCCGCCGTATAAGACGCACTTTTTGTCTTTGAAAATAGGTCTGAACAACGGAATCCGTCTTACTCAGTTTTCGATTACATTTATTTCTCAAAATTTCCTCTATTCGGAGTTGCACAATCTTTTGTCTTGTTTTTTGCAGAGTATGGGAACATTAGTTACATAAAGTTCATTGAACCCGCATGCGCACATATCGACAATCACAGCTGAAAACTTTCCAATTTTTGTGAACGACTTTTAAGCGTGTGAAATTTCTACTGTTCAGTTATCTTTCATTTTTTGCCAAGTTATAGCTAAAAAAACCATTGTCGGCATTGCTATAACATAACATGCAAGGTACGTGTGATTGCGTATGGTAACAAGACTATAGATAGGCATTTCGGGCCACCCCGACTGATAAAATGATAAGAACTGTGAACTGGGATGCTGTGAAACTAAAGATAGTGTTTAAATCATTTAAGAAATGTGGTATTAGTAATGCACTGGAGGGTACAGGGGACAATTTGTTGTATGAGGACTCTGATGCTGATTTAGAAGGTTTCTATTGACTTTCCAGTTAGCTCTTGAGATGAGTATCTGAATTTTGACGAAAAAAATTAAAAGATGGTCTTTCCCGGATAGATTGGATATTTGCAGAAATTATTAACTTGTATTACTTTATATTTAAAATACTGTAAATTCATTATAATGATCAGTGATAACGTTTTATCCTTCAAAAATGTGTATAAAAAAGGGGTGCGTCATATATGCCGGCAAATACGGTAGTTTAAAAAATGTGCCGATAGATGGCCATTGTCAGGATTTACATGGCTGTTGTAGAGATATGGATATTTCAAGACTTGACATGCACACCACAGATGTAGCTGTGATAAAAATGCAGAACATTAGCGGAACACGTAATGCTTTGCTTAAATGCTTTATTGTGATTGACAATGAAGGATCGCGCTCTGCTCGTGAAACTTTTCTGTCAGAACGGTGACTCTGCATTAACAGCTATCAGGAAGTTTTGGACATTAAAGGGCATAAAATTCGCCCCCAAAACCGCTTACGGCCTGCGAAAACTGATGGATAAATTCAAAGAGACAGATTTATTTAACGTGAAACGAGGTAGAGGACGAAACCCAGTTGCGACAGTGGAAGATGTGGCTACAAAGTTCCAAGAATAGACGAACAGTGATACAGGAATCAGCAGTGCATGGGGAACTGGACGAATGTTGGATATGCCTGTCAGCACGGTGCGTAATGTCCTGTGGAACATCTTGCGCTGTTATCCGTGCAAGCTAACTCATGTGCAGAACTTTCTACTTGCTTACCTGGAAACATGTGAATCGTTTGCACAGTGATTTCTTGCCCGGATGGAAGTGGAGAGTGGATGGCCAAGGAATATTCTGTGGTCTGGCAGAGCCCATTCCGTTTTGCAAGGTTCTGTAAATACTCAAAATTGCAGGATGTCGGTGATCAAGGATCCGTTCCCGCTACAGCGAGTACCTCTTCAGTCTAAAAAGGTCACTGTGGTGCGGAATAATGGAAACGTTTGTCATAGGTCCGTTCTTCGAGATCACATCTGCAGGGCTCATTAACTGCTTAACCATGTCCTTCTGGCAATTCAGCAGCATCAGTGGTTCACACAAGATGCAAGATGGTGCTCCTCTGGACATTGCTACTTCTATGAAGGAACTGCTGACCACTCATAAAATCATAACCTGCCATTTTCCAACAGTTTTACCGCCACGTTCGCCCAACTAAACCCATGTGATTTTTGGCTTTGGGGGATACCTGAAAAGTATTGTTTGCAGTCGGTAGGTTGGGAATCTGGCCGACTTGAAGGCAACCATCACTTACCACATTCATAGCATCAGCACAGATACCCTCCGGAACTGTACTGGAACATGTCGTTTTGCACTTCCAACTAGTAGCGGAACAAGGTGGACACCATATCGAACAACTTATGCGCGTTTGTTTTCATGAAGCTCTTCCTTTTTCTCTTGTCATTATCATTGTACACACGTATTCTTTAAACTATTCGCTGTAAACATGTCTTTTTGCCTGTCTTAAAGCCTTGGAGTCTATTATTTTCTTTTGGCTAACAACATTCGTGTGGTTATTGATTAGGTCTTACCCCTGCTAGCGTAGTCTATCGCCACATTTTGGAACTATTTTTTCCCTTCGCCAAACAAAATTTCATTGCCTCTCGATTGTTCTGGCAAAATATCAAGTCATTCTGACCTGTAGTTTTAAAGTTAGTGTTCTGAAATCGCAACTTTAATTATAATCACCCTGTACCTTGTCATTATCTTCATTGTCACTCTCTTCAATGTCGGAATCGGAAGTCCTATATCTACAGTATGCGGGTTCTTCTGTTGTTTATTATTTTTGGTATAATACATCTACTACTCCTAATTGGAGAGAGTGTGCGTGTACGTGCGAGAGACAGAGTGAGTGGGTGTGAGGAGCGTTTGAGAGAGTATACTCTCTCTAGCACTCTCACTCTCGCGACCCACAGTCTCTGTCTCTCGCACTCACACACTATCTCTCTCGCACTCATACAGGGCACAGGGTGATTTGTATCTCTCTCGCACTCATACACTCTCTCTCAAATGCTCCTCACATGCACTCTCTCTCGCACACTCACACACACACTCCCTCTTGCAGTCGAGAGAGAGGGAGAGTGAGTGTGAGAGACTGTGTGTCACGAGAGAGAGAGTATACTCTCTCAAACGTTCCTCACACTCACTCTCTCTCTTCCACTCATCCTCTCACTCGCTCTTTCTCTATCACTCTCGCACTCGTGCACACACACACTTTCTCGCACCCACTCACTCTCTTGCACTCATACTCACACTCACACTTTCTCTAGCTCTCGCACACACTATCTCAAAGAGTGTGTGACTGTGAGAGAGTGTGTGATTGCACTTTCTCAAACACTCCTCACACCCACACACACTCTCACTCACTCTGTCGCACTCACATACTTTCTGGCACGTACACACTCTCTCTTGCACACTCGCACTCTTGCTCTCACAATCACGCACACACTCTCACTCTCGCACATTCACTCACTCCCTCTCTCCCTCTCTCTTATTTCGTAAGATAACCGCTGTGTATCTAGTACTATAGTACTCAAATTTTTACACACCTTTGATCACCGACGCTTTCCACACACGTTGCCCTTCAGTTCCCTAAAGTGTCACAGAGATAGGGCTGACATTGTCAAATACTTTTCCCCGAATACAGGGTTAGCAAGAAAATACATAGCAAGCGAGCAAATTCCAAAGACGTCTCACCCCAGTTCTGCATAGCCAGCCAAGCCAAATATTACCTTAAATTATCACCCAGCTCAATCAGGGCTCAGTCAGTAAACCGACTATGCGACCCACACTTCTTCATAAGTGCTTCGGGTGCCCAAGAAGAAACCATTGCTCTGTGTATGTTGATCTAGCTGCGAGTATTCCCTGAGCTACAAAACACGGAAAATGGACTCTGGAATACTCTGGAATCTGGTATCAGGGAGTAATCAGTCTTAAAAATGACGACACACTCAGAATAAGACGTCATGCTCATGAAGCAATGGATCCTGCATGCCAGGCCATGGCGACTTAATCATGGTTTGGGCTGTTTTCTCTTTGGCACTATTTCGATGTTTTGCTACTTGTATCAATCTCCCTCCGTATGCTTCGGTACGTGGAGTTGCTGGCCAATCTTCTCTATCCATTTATATAACCTATTAAGTGTTTCTTTAACCATGCCTGTATCAACAAGTTAATGCAAATGTACCTCAACTACTAGATGTTCAACAGTTGCCCCTGTAGGGCTACGTATCTACACTTAGTTCTTAAATAAACTCCCAGGGAGGAAGTGGAACATATGCCTGTTAACCTCTGTTAAACTTCAGGCGTTCCCATCCTCCATCACCTGTCTTTCATACGGAAATTCAGTATTCCAGCAAGATAATTGCACCTCTCACAGGTCCCAGTTGCCTACTGCATGCTGACATCACCATGCCTCTGACTTCTGCGTCATGAATTAGTTACCTAGAAACCCTAAATGACTCAATCCTATTGAGAATCTTTAGGGGAAAGATGTAAAATTCCAGAAAATTATTGAATCAATGCCTGGTAGTGTTGCGGCCAGATGAGGCCAAACGTCTTATGGACTAGCTATCCAAAATACAGTTAACACTTTTTGTAAATAAAATTCTTTTCTTTTCCAGCTCATCCTGTAGAAGCAGCAGTGGAGCCCCCTCCATCTGAGAAATTCCAAGTGGTTTAAGAAACTGCTAAAAAATGAAGAAAAAGGCCGCTTTTAAAATACAGAATATTTCTAATTAAAGCAAACAAAAAAAATATATAAATTAGGCTTACCATGTTTCATAAAGTGCCTTATATTTACTCCTGCATCCCATTACAGTGGCAAACTGAAAATCAGATACTTTCCTCAACCATCTCTGCTTTGCAGCAAATTTTGATACTTTGGAAAAGATATCGATATTACTTTCTCTCGTATTGAAGGACAAGCTGGGACTTCAAAGAGGAATCTGCCATTATTTTCATGCAACTGTGGTATCAGCCAGCTTTTTGTTCGCATCTACGGCATTTTCGTGGCATTCGAATAAATCTTAGCGTGCCACATAAATAAATGTCTGCTCAATTCGCAAAGCTATATGTGAAACAAATCTGACACATTAAAAAACTGAAATGTTTCACGTCATGTAATTATAAATAACCTTGTATTTAAATACATTAATACTAAAACTATTTAAAATTATGACAATTTTTATACTACATCATTAAAAAAGATATCAGTTTTGCAAGAAACTCTCTATTGAATCTTTCCTTTTAAATAGCATGTGCGTAATTACTATAAATGCAATATAAATTAATGTTTATTAAAGAAAAAGAACAAAATGGAAAGCCTTAACCTAATTTAAAATTGATATTTGCTAAAAAAATCTTAGCAGTATTTTAACACACGTAAGGCAATTTAAAATTTCACGATCACCGTTTTGACTACACATTATCATACACCTGGTCACGTGCGCATCGAATTTCGAGTTTTTAGATTTACTTTTTGCAAAGTTAATACTTTGCACTAACTTTCATTAACAAACTCGGCGATTTCAAAGCAATAGATGGCCACTCTGCAAGACTTATGATATTTGTCTTTCAAATTTCATCAAAACCAGCAATTTCAAAGAAATATGTTCACGCTCCAATTTGTTTCCATTCGGCGAAGCATAAAATACTTTTTTTTTCTCCAGTCTTCACAGTATATAACCTGCCTCTTACTGATAACCAAATTAAGCGATTTAAAATCAACTAGTTCTTTCAACAAGTTCTTTGTGTCTTTTATTATTAATTGCTAGTTGGACATGTCAAATCAATCTAGGACTCATTATAATTGTATATTTTTTTCCTAACAACTATTTTAAACACTTGGTTTAAAAAAATACGTAAGTGAGAAATATATATATTCTTTAACTTATTTTTTGCGTGTTTTTTCCTAATTTCTTTTGGTGAATATTTTTCCATTCTCTGTCCTTGTATTCAGTTATAACAACCAAGCGATAAAATGTTTCTACTTCTAACAAAAACTGAATATGTATACTCTGTTCAATATTTATGGTGTCGAATAATAATAAAGTATATAGCAAACATAAAATTACAGTCTTTTAATAAAATTGTGAAAAATTACAAAAATGTATAAATGAGTAAAATAAAGCATTTGTACTTGCGTTTTTTTATTATTATTATTATTATTATTATTTCAATTTTTTTTATTTTTTTTTTTTTTTATTTAGAATGAAATTCACAGGTGCACTTTTACAACGCATTTCAAAACGACGTCGCATGACCCAACATCTTACGCATTTTGCGACGAGAATGTAGTATGACAAAGCGAAACCGATATTTCTGCTTAAAAGAAAAATGTAAGCAAAGACCTGAAATCCAAGTCTTTGCGACGGTCAGAAAATCGTGGAATTTCACATATATCTAGGTAGTTTAAAAAGGATGGATTTCATTGTGCTGAATAAAACAAAAATTTATCTTTTAAACGCCAGATAAAATAATATCGGTTTAAATGAGGTCTTTTTCGTTGATGTGTTTGTACTCATAATCTACTTAAATTGATATTTTTATATTTTTTTAACTTTCTACTAATATTTTCTACATTGCCGTAATAGGAATTCTGAAACTACAGAAGATTTTCTTATTCCTATAAATACTAAGTTATGATTTTCAGATCTGAAGAATAAATTGTGCAAATTTCGCTTCAAAATTTAGTACATTACATTATTTTATATAATGCATTATACGATCTGGTACCTCAAAACTTTAAACGGTTTTTTTTTATTTTATGGTTCGCCAACGAAGGGCGCCACAGATAAAACTTTGTTATATTCATTGCTGCAAATGCACAGCACATCAGCACGAGCAGAACTACCATAATAATTGCATTTTTCTACAAGTAGGACTAAAAACTTCTCCACTTTAAAATCATAAAGTGGATCTCCTTCCCCACTACGACGTACCCCGTAGGGTAACTACTTTAGGAGTCAAAGTCTTTTAGACTAAATACTCCTTCCTACTGCAATTCATGCCGTGCAAATACGCATTTAACTCATGAAATGTAAAGATTCAACACATTTGTAACCATAAGGGTCACTTATAATTTAGTTATGAATAAATCAAAGGTAAATTTTAATTTAGTACCATGTATTTTCACACGCGAAAAGCACCCGTAAATAATATTCTAAAATATTCAATGTAGCTGCAAATAATGGTGAAAAATATTTAAAATAAAAGCAATAACAATCAAAATTCTGAAAGAATTACGATTTTAACGGTCGCCCAAGAGGATCAAAGTTTTTATGCTGTCGCTAAGCTCGCAGTCTAAGAGTCTGTTACATTCCCTCTTACCAACCCCCCTTTTATTCCTTTGTCTATTTAGCTCTATTATAAACCACCATTAACACTTATACCATATAAAGTATGTGTCATCTTTTCAAGGTATATGTGAATCTTTTTGAAACAGAGTCAACCATTTAAAATAACTGTCTACTTTTTGTAAAAAAGCCTTTTAACAAATGAAATTAATTTTAAAGGTAACCTTCCCGTAGCCAAATACATATTCTCACTCACGTTATTCGACAGAAACAAATATTCTTTAATATTACATGTTTGGAATATGCACAACATAAATTATTCTTGTAAAATTAATCAAATGTATTTTAATCTTCCTGCGATATTAATTATAAAGACAAAAACTTTGTTATGACCCCGAATATTAAAATTATCCAATATAATACATTTTCATAAAATATCAATCTTTAACATACTGAAAATTTAAAAATAACAAATATTTTCTTACGATAAAATATATTATTTTATTTCTTCAGTACACGTTTTCAGACGATTCTTTTTTCATACCTCGTGTTAATTATTTTTTCTCAAACGTTACAAGTATAAAAAATTATCTTTTTTTAATTCATGAAATAAATTTAAATAACAATTATAAGCACAAATTTGTGATCTGGTTCCTTTGAATTCTGATCTTTAAAAAGTAGACATGCTGATATTTTCCACCAAGGTAACAAACATCCTTAAAGAAGAATTTACAACAAAGAAAAAATAAATAAGTAAAAGCATTTATTTATTGTCCGATATTTTACTTTCGTAGAAGAACAACTTGTGTAAAAGCTCATGCTGCTAATTCAAATGAAACTTACTGAAAACTCATCGTAGGTAATTAATAAATTACATTTTCTTAATTTTTAAGCAGCGAGTAAAATTAATTCCTACAATTAATTACTTAAAAACTTAAATCTGAAACCGAGATGCATTTCAATAAATTTTATTGGTTTATTCTTACCTCACCTCTGAAATAGTCAATATACTCATGAGCTAAGTAATTCTGCGATTTGTAAATTAGTGAATTATTTTTTAATGTCAAAAGAAACGTCAGTGTCAAGTATAAAATCAGGTAAAAATTCCAAATTTAAGTTAGCTTTGATTTTATAGTAAACTCGATCCAAGCAAAAGGGTCTTTTATTTTCGGTACGAAAAAAAAAAAGATCCACAGTACAATGAAAACTACCTTCCTTTGAAAAAATATAAATAAATAAATGAAAACTAAAAAGTCTGAAATTATATTCGACAGAATATTAAGGCTCGCCCAAAACGGTTTGCTAAGGTTTTCAGGTTCGCAGTCTGCCTGTCTGCTGTTGCACTCCCTCCTACTAACCCCCTTTTTTTATCTTTTTAGCTCTGTGATTAAGCATTATTTTCTTCGCACTTACGCTTTATACAATTCAATCAGAAAATTACAAAACTTTCAAAAGCAGCACACCAGTATACGTTTAAGAATTCCTGATGCAGGGTTGTTGGAACACACTTTTCTGCTCTCGTACATTCCTGTGAAAATGGGGCTGAGCAGTTGCAAAATGTGCTATGAACAGGGTTCGTAGCGGTCCTTACAAGTGCTTATAAGTCCTTATATTTGAAAATAAAATATAAAGGCCCTTATAGGTGCTTACTTTTTCTTTAAAGCCCTTATTTTTTTTGTTTTTAGTGCTTATTTTTTGCTTTTAGTGCTTTTTTTTTTAATCCTTTGTTTTTAATGAACACGCATGTTTTCCCTGTACCAAAGCCAAAACTAAATAAACAACTTTTCTTCCTTATATGCAACGTCAGGTGGTGAATCATACTCCCGAAAATTGCTTCCCCCCCCATCCTCTGCCTTGGAAGTAGGAAAGAGAGGAGGGGCCAACCCGCGCTAAAAGTGAAGCACTGCTTTGAAGCTTGGGTCACCAGATGGGGTGTTCTTTGTTTACATTCAGAAGCTCGCTTGACAAGATTCTGATAGTATTTCGACACACGACAGTTCCATAGAAATCGAAAAAGGGACACTTTCGCATGAAAGAAACATTCATAGTGTGATGGATAATAGCAATCTGTATAGTTTAGTGACATTTACGCAAAAATCACGTCTTGGTTATTTTTCGATAACTAACAAGAGCGATTTTGATTATGAATTTGTTTTATAAAAGTCTAAGCTGTTGCACTACAAAAATATAGATTTTAAGAAAAATGTTATGCTTAAAAGAATGAAAAATACCTTACGGTACATTTAAACCGTCGGGGTTCAAACATCACTTTCTTATCAGTGAATAAAAACAAACAGTGATGTGTAAGTATTCAAAGTGATACAGTAACGGAACATAAATCGAAAATAAAGTGTACTTAGTGTATTTCTTAATTAAAAAAAAGATTTATATTTTATACAATGCCGAAACATAAAAGAGCAGGCGGACTTGCCAGTTCTGAAGCAAAAAGCCAAAAACATAAAGA